CACCTATTCGCCAAAGCCACCACACTCTCATCTACAAAAAAAAAAAAAAAAAAACAACAATGTGTTAAAGACTGATTCAAGTTTTGTAAAGCTGTCTTAAATTTTAAGAGCTTTTAACCTGTAATTAAAACACAGCCGCAAAGATCAAGGGTTCTTAGATCAGGACATCCATAAGCTAAACTCATGACTCCATCATCACTTATATTCTCACACCATCCCAAGTTTAGTGACTGCATTTCACTACAGTTTTCCCCAATAGCCTGAATAAATTTTTGTTTCCTTGTTAGGTTATTGTTACAAAGACATTAAAAATTCCAATGTTTAGAAAGGTACCTGCAATGCATTGTCAGAGACAGCTCCCACACAACCACAAAGATTCAGAACTTTGAGCTTCTTGCAATACCTTGTCAGATACGCAAGAGCAGTGTCGCTGAATGAAGTGCAGCCACTAAGGTTGAGTTTAGTGAGGTTTGTGCAACCGCGAGCCAGAGAGTATAGAGAATGGTCAGTGAGTTTCAAGCTTTTGCTTAGGTCAAGATCTTTTAGCTCGTGACAATGATTCGCTATTGCTTCCACTGCGTTGTCTTGAAGCTGAGAGTTGTCTTGTCTCAGTACTAATGTATGAATCTTGACGAGTTTTGGAGCAAGAGACAGAACCAAACTGTTCATGTTCTTCTTGCACCTGAAGAAACAAATAAAATAAAAATAATGACCAAACACTACTAGTTTCTTGGTATATATACAAATCCGAATCTTGAAACTGAAAATATCATATCAAGAAAGTGATCTCGCAACAAAATCTGATCAATCATCAGCAAAGTCTGATACTTTCAATTAGGCATAGGCCTTAATTATTGTGTTCGGATTAGGTTTAGTTGATTTGAACATTTAAAATTATGCTCATAAATCTCATTTGGATTTTGGTTTGTATTCAAAACCGGATCGGGATTATAATCATTATATGAAATCGCCTAACCATTTTATTTTAATAAAATACTAATGAAATTCACCAAAAATACTCAAAATCTAATTCATACCAGTTAAGAAGTCTAAATTAACTAAAATAATTTGAAATTAACCATTTTTAAAAATACTATAAAATATCACAATTACTTTAACAATATAAATATGTTAATAGATTTAAGTAATTTCGGTCATTATTGGATTCTAATTTGGATTTCGGTTTGGTTTGGAGCGAACCCAAAATTACCTAGTTCTTAAACCTTTTTGGATATTTTTTATAACAATTTGGATTGGATTTCAGTTTTTCAGTTTGGATCCGGTTTATAATTCAGGTTTGGTTAGAAAAATCCCAGACATACTTTCAGTCACATGATCCTGTCAACATATCAGCCATCAACAAAGAAGAGAGAAGCTATGTATACATACCAAGAGAGGGAGAGACGAGTGAGACCAAAGGAAACAGCATCTCTCCAGCCACTGCAAACACCAGAAGCAATGATGACCGTCCGATCATCATCAACAAGGTTAAGGATTCTCATGAGAAGCTCCACAGGGATATCTTTCCACTCGGTCATCACAATTCCTTCCATCTTCATCTTCTCGAAGCATCGGTCAAGTGCTGCTGACCCTTCTTCTTGGCTCAACATCTTTTTAATACTCTCTTGAAAGTGGTTTCTTGGTTCTACCACCACAAAAAGAAACTGAGATTAAAGAAAAGAAACAGAGCCTCGAAAGACGACGAACGTTGGAAATTGATAAATAATAAAACTAAACATTGAAACTTTTGGACTAGTTCTATCATACCTTCGTTGCTCTTTCAAATAAATGAAAAGCGTGGACACTTGTGAGGATGATAACGAGAGGAGAAAGAGAGATAGACAAATGAGTTTTTGTTATAAAAGGGTAACAGACAAAGAGTTAACTTACGGACAATGTCTACTTGACACGTGTCGCAAATTCAACGGTGACACATTGCATACTTTTATGTAAAGTTATTTTCATAATCATAGTTGTAATATAAAATATTAAAAATAATATCACAAAAGTTAATGCAAAGTAAATTAAAAAAAATCAGGGAAAGTAAGAAGATGATAACAACTTAATTAGGGAGAAGATGATAACACCTTAATTAGGGAAAAGTTAGAAGGTAATAAACCTCCTTTTTCATATCAATAAGTCAATAGATATGGAAAGCCCTAAGAGCATCTTTATCGCTCGTTTCTTAGCTAGGTTTTTAGTGAAATTAGAATTAAAAATAAATCAAAATTCACATTATTAGAAAAAACGTTCCTTAATTGGGGACAAGAGAAAACGTCTCTTGTGACACACGTGTCTCTCATTGAGCGATTTCGCCTTCTTCTCTCTCCATCTCTCTCTCGACGGGAATTCTAGCTTGCTTTCTCTCTCGATCTCATCATCATCATCTCCAATCTCTAGAATGGGTGAGATTCTTCGATCTCCATATATATCTTCGTTGTTGATACTTTTGTTTGTTATGGTTTCTAATCAGATCGTGTTTTTGATTTCTCTCTTGTTTGTGTAGCTGACAAGAAGATTAAGATCAGAATCAATGGTGAGTGTTTCTGTTCAGAAACCGTTTAGGCTTTAGTTAGCTTAGATCTGTGAAATCTGATTTTTGAATCTTCGTGAAAGTTTGGGAGGAAGAATCGGTCGATTGGTGGTTAGAGTGATCCTTCAGAGGAACGGTGTTGAGCTCGTCGATGTTAACCACCCCTTTACCCCTTCATCACCACCGAGTACATGGTGAGAATTTCTTTACTTTGATCCCGATTGGTTACTATCATCTTTGACTAGTATAGATCCAAAACCTTGATTGATGTGATGATTATGAGTGAGTGAACTGAATCCGTTTAATTGAATGTTTGTTGTGTGTTGTAGACATGTTTAAGTACGACAGTGTTCACAGTCAGTGGAAGCACAATGAACTTAAGTTGAAGGATGAGAAAACACTTCTCTTTGGTGAGGCTGAGGATATCCCATGGGGTGAGGCTGGAGCTGACTTTGTTGTTGAGTCTACTGGTGTCTTCACTGACAAGGACAAGGCTGCTGCTCACTTGAAGGTTTGTTTCCATCTGCTTTTCATGTTATATAATATTATATGTTGTATGCATATAGATTGTTTTGTATGCTATAGCTAGTTGGTTTCTAGGATTACCTATGTGCTTGGTTGCTTGCGTTAAACCCTCTTTCTGCTACCATAATTGTTGACAATTTGAAGTTTATATGTTGATGAGCAGGAGATGTTCACGGTCAGTTTCCAGACCTCTTGCTGTTCCTTGGAGACTACGTTGATCGTGGTAAGCAGAGCATTGATGAGTGTTGATGATAGCTTGACATGTTCCTTCCAATCATCAAGTCAACTGAAAAGAAAATAAGATTTGGATTCAACAACGTTTCTCGACCAGGAACCTCACCACATAAGGTGAAATACTATTCACATCATACTAGCACATGGCAATATACATGAATAATATCATGTAACTAGCGTTGTATTTGTTCATAACCTGACATCTCTATTTGTATTTTTTTTAAGAAACTTAAAATAAAAGACTTGCAATGGAGGACTAAAAGATTGAAAGTTCTTAACAATGTCTCTTAACTAAATTTACTCCTTAAATACTATTAAAATATTATTAAGAGACACTTGATGGGTCTCTAGGATAATGATGCTCTAAGCACAATAGAGATTATATTTTTCTTTTATCATATGATTATTCCGTTCTAATTGATGGTTTTGGTGGAATATACTTGTTGGACTTTAGGGATTTTTATATGAGTAGAAATATATTTATAGTTTCTTTTCTGTTTTAATGTTGTTCACAGAGATGTAATAAACCAAATTCATCAATCAGTTAGAAGACCATGTAACAATGTTTGTTCTATATATATAATCTGAAAGTTTGTTGATTACTAATTTACTATCAAAATGATATTGCAAGTTCAATTCTTAGATAACAACGTTGAAAATTAACCTAACAATTAACATACAAAGTTAATCGCCAAAAAAGAAGTTACATTTGACCTTAATAAATAAGAAAAATAAGATCCATATAATTAACAACAGAAGAAAGAATGCAACACGCAAGAACTACAACATGCATCTTGATGATCAGGACTCATGAGGCCTATGGGTTGGTAAGCACGTTTTTCGATAAATGAAACAATTTCCCCACCAATACTTAATTCATTCTTCCACTAATTAAGTTAGATTACTCTTACGTTGTGTTATCGACTAAAGTTACCGTAAGTTAGTAGCTATAGTGACATTTGTGTTATCCACTCCGTCTTCATGACATCAGTTCACCGGTTTGTTTTGTTTGTATCCTCTGGTAACATACCAACAAAATCATTCAAGAACAGATGTATATTATATATTGAAAAGGCACAAACATTATTATTTTTATTTTCCATAATGTAAAGAAAATACGTAACCTGAATCTTAAACATAAACCATATTGTGTTGATTGTTTCTGCCATAAGAAGTTTATAATCTTTTGGAGGTGGACCACGCAACGAATTTTTTATACTTTAAGTATTGCTTAAAATACATGGATATTATGGACGAAGTAATCATAGTATTAATTTATAAAGGACATGGAAACAGCAAGCCGTTTACTTTTCCCTTGTTTCGTGCATAGTTTAAACTTTAGACTAGCGATAGCTAGGCTGTTAGCCTTATCCTAAGCCGCACTCCATGCCGTTTTCAACTATTGCTTTTCTACTTTCCCACATCTACTCTCCATTAGTCTTTCCAGTTTCCCCATTTCGAGGGCAAATCTTTAGCAAAAATTCAAGCTTTATTGTTTAAGAGGAGATTCATTTCATAAAATAAAATAGTTATGCTTATTACTAATTTCAGTTTTAGATTTTGACATTGTATAGTGATTGAATTTCACTTTGACTATGAAAAAAAAACATTTGCTGCAGGACAAAACTAATATTGAATATTGCATATTTGGTCCAGAACTTCCTGATAATCCAAAAAAACATTAACATATATAACCTATTTGTCACCTGTTAAATAGTACTCCCTCCATTTCATTTTAATTGTCATTCTAGGTTTTTACACACATATTAAGAAAACATTTAATTTTACATATTTTCAAGAGTCAAATACAACTACCTATACATCTAACCATTTTTCAACCAATAGAAAAATAGAATATCATATAAAACTAATAAATTTTGTCTCGAAACTCTAAAACGACACTTATTTTGAAACGAAATTTTTTCTCTAGAATGACAATTATTTTGAAACGGAGGGAGTAAAAGTTTACTATACTGCTTTATGCATAGACAATCAACTCATTTTCATGCCCAGGTCAATGCAGCAATTTGATAATAGAATCACAACATAGTTTCCCACAATATAATTTTTAACTAATCCAAATAATATAATATGGCAAGTTTAAATAAATTAAAATCCTTAACATGGATATTATACATTTGGACAAAGATGATAAGGTCACAAGACGGATTTGATTACAACACAAAAGCAAACCTTTCAATAGGGAAAGTTCACGGTCATACTATGACTAAGTAAACCAAAAACCCGGTTTTGGTTCGGTTTGAATTTTGGTAAACCGAACCAAAATTAATGATCAAGTCAAAACACAACACTAGACCTTCTATAGATCATACATCATACACATTTCACAGTACATTTTTTATCCACACAATCTAATAACAATTATATATAAGTTACCTTGTCTCTCAAGGCAACAACTTCTCCAGCAAATTCCCAAAAAAGAAACTGGTTTTGGCCCATCCTCCTCCTGTTCCGGTTTGACCTTCCTCTTTCCATCTTTTACTTGGTACCTTGTTCTTCACGTTAACCATCATACTGTGTCCGATCTCTCCTCGTAACGCCTCTATCGTCTTCACGTCCACTGGATTCCCTGAAGCATCTCTCACATAGAAAACGTTAACAGCTTGTTCTCCTACTGTTGTCACACCAGCTCTCGTCACTGAAAGACCATGCTCTCTCAGAATCCTAGTCACTTCAGACAGAAGTCCAGCTCTATCCTTTGCACATAGCTCCAAACTCCAGCCCTAGATATGAGTTTCAGACAAGAACTTAACAAACTGTTATCTTCTAACGCAAGAAACATGTAGATGAGTGTGTTTAAGGGTTAACTTAATGAATTGAACTTAAGAAACCGTAACTTCTAACGCAAGAAACATGAAGATGAGTGTGTTTAAGGGTTAACTTAATGAATTGAGTTTCAGAAAATAACTCAAGGAACTGTTACTTCTAATGCAAGAAACATCAAAAGAAGATGTGTGTGTTTTTACCTCGCTGACTCTTCTATGGATTGCAGCTTCTAGGCATTTGATAACTCTCTCTTTCTCTCCTTCAGAGTCAAGAGTGCAACCATCTTTGTGTCTGATGAAATACTCCTGAGAGGCATGAGGACCGTTGGATGTAATCGTGGCGTGGAACACAATGTACTGCATATCCGTAAGCGTGCATACAATATCAAACATGAGCTTAGCCCTATCCTCAGAGCTGACACTTATCACAGAGTAACCTTTCTCTTCACAGTGCTCAACAGTGATCTTAGGCTCGAGTCCAGGACAAGCGTCACCATCAACCTTACCCACTGCTTCATAGTCTCTATCAGCGAAAAGCATCTGATGAAGCCTACGGTCAACATGAGTGGACCCAATGGAGAGACTCGTCCTAGAAACTTTCTCATCTTCTTGCTCACAGCCACGTATCACAAGGTTGAGCTGTTCTTCCATTGTAGACAATCTTTCAGGATCATCAACGGCTCTTAATGTTTCGTTATCATTCACATAGAGAACACAAGCGATCCTACGGTTATGAGTCCATGCTTCAGCTGCTACTACGTTGAAGTGGAGGTCTGCTAGTACAGCTGAGATCTCGGACAAGAGACCAGGACGGTCACGAGCAATGATCTCGATCGATGTGTGGTCTCCTAGTGAATGGACACCAACTCTTTTACCTGGCCAAGTGTTTTGTGAAGACGCAGCATGGCCCTTTGGTCCTAACACCTGACAAGAAGTACACTAATCTTATATATATGTACATTATAGTTACAGTTTTTTTTTTAATTACATACCTTCTCGATGTAATCAATGGTTTTGTTATCAGTAACCTTGTTTCCTTGTTGGTCAGTGACATGGAATACTATTAAGATGTGAAAGAATAGGAATCAAAGACAGGCTTCATTGGTGTGAAAACATTTATATAAATGTGAGATTATTACCGTCCATGAACCATCCACCATCAGAAGAGATGTATGCTTTGGTGATTGTGAGATCAAGATCGGTTAGAACTTGCACAACTTCAAGTAGTATTCCAGGTTTGTTCATACTGTCAACCTATTGATAATTACACTCACATACACATCAAAATCTAAACTAACCAATCAAATGGAGTTACACAGAGAAGGAAGGATACTTTTACCTTGACAAGAGTGCATTCTTTGCAGCTAGTGTTGTCTATAGAAACACTGCAACAACAACAACATAGAAACTGTAAAAACAGATTTTTGAATGTATAAATAATCTTAAAAGAGATGGTGATTATATTTACCTTGGAGGATTGATTCTGGAGCTCAAGTTCTCATATTCTGGATCAAAATAAGGCCAGTAAACTTTAGCCATTAATCTCTAAGCTCTTCACACGTTCTGAAGTTAACCAAAAGAACTTGTTTATATATGAAACAAGACACAGAAGGAGACAAAAGATAAGGAGAAACAGCTCCCAACAAGTTGCAGGAAGATAAGATATTGGGAGATTTTTGCCTGCAGAGTCAAAATAAGTGAATCTTGGCCACTAAGTTACTAGACAGAAGAAGAAGATAGATAGAGAGATAAAAGATTTTCATAAAGGGAGACCACAAACTGAGATTCTCTCTGCTCCTTCTCTGGTCATTCTCAACCAGAGATAAACAGAAGTAAGAAGAAGAATAAATTCCTAAACGATCTCTAACTTAAAGATATTATTCTGAGGCAACTGTTTTAATTCTTTTTTTACTTCTCTAAGAGTTGACATGAGATTCTCTCTATTTTTGCATAAAGGAATCCATCAACTTATTAGAAGTAGCTGTAAAAAGTGAAAAACATGGAGGAATATAAGTTAGTAATAAAATAATAATAATAACTTTGATGTAAGAAAGATTTGATTGGTCAAAGATGGAATCTAAAATGTTACACATCGAATAATACACTGTACAATCGTACAAAAATAAAATAATGACAATAATGCCAACTTGCCACTGAGAACAGCGTCACACAGCCACACCACCAACAACAACAATGAAAGATGAGACAAACTCTGTGTTAGTCGATTCCATAAAATACACATTAAATAAAAAATTATGGGTTTTGTCAGACATCATATGCAGACTAGCTAAACATCGTTACAAATTTCATTACAGCTCGTGTGTGTGTGTGTGTCTTGAATCATTGAAATCTCGTGTTTTTCTCAATACCAAGATTGAAAGATAAATCTTTTATAAAAACTCAATTGTGACAGAATCACAACTTGAGAAAGATCAGTAGAGAAAATCCAAAAAGAGTATCGATTTGAATTGTTGAGAGAGTGAGAATCGTTTACCTTTTAGTATGAGAGAACTTAGAGAAAGGTCAAGTTTTGTGGAGACGGCGGGAGAAGAGAAAGACAGAGAGAGAGAGAGAGAGAGAAAATCTATGGAGATTTATTACAAATCTTACATCTTTTTAGAAGACAAAAGATACACGGAGAGACAGAGACAGAAGCAGAGCAAGTGTCCTCAATAAAAGAAAAAAAAACAAAACAAAACAAAAGAGATGTCTGTCTGCCTCTTCTCTCTCTGATATTAATGAGATTGAAACACCTCTTTCTCAGTCAGAGGCTTTAGTAGGAATCTAGCGAAATAATAGTACGTCAAACTTTTACAATTAAACTGAAATTATTTTTTCTTAGCTTTTAATTAAAGACTTATTTTTTTGTTCACACCCTATGGTGAACCTCTAGGTTCACCAACCAATAGGGTGTTCTTATTTCATATTTGATATCTTTTAAAAAGGAAATAAAATCTTGTCAAGTTATACTATATTTTTAAAATAAAAATAAAAAAATAAATAAAAATATTAATATTTACAAAAAACGAAAAAAATCTTTAAAAAAATATTTTAACATTATATTATGTTTTAAAATAAAAGAGAAAAATAAAATAAAAAAATTAATAGTTGCAAAAAAAACAATTTAAAACAAAAACTATTTTAATATATCTTTAAAATAAAAACATGTGTTTAAAATAAAAAGATAAAAATAAATAAAATAGTATAATTGGTTAATATTAATTAATTTACCCAAGGGTTAAGATTTTTCCAAAGGGTTTATGATTTATCCAAGGGTTTAGGGTTTAGGAATAGGGTTTAGGGTTTAGTATTAGGGTTTAGGGTTTATGATTAGATTTTAGGGTTTAGTGTTTTAGTGTTAAATATTTTTTAAAAAAGTTTTTTTTTCGTTTTTTAAATATTATTATTATTTATTTATTTATTTTTGTTTTAAAAACATAATATAACTTAAAAAGATTTTATTTTTTTTAAAAAACAATATCAAATTTAAAATAACACCATCCTATTGGTTGGTGAACCTAGAGGTTCACCCTAGGGGTGAACCTAAGAATAACTCTTAATTAAACGAGTATTAGTCAGACATGACGAAGCGAACATTATAATTAGTGGTGGTGTTAATACCAAACTATTCCACTCTCCCACACACGCTCTCTCTACAGCGCGTGTCCTACTCTCTTCATTACTGATATTCTTAAGTCAACTGGTACTGTTTACAAGAACTTCATAACATTTATGTGTGTGCTTGTGTTGGAGTTAAAATGGTAATTTATAACACTAACCAGTCTTATCTTGATAATTATTTTGTGAATAACGAAAAGAGAGCGTGAAGATGGGAAACGTTTGGATCTCACGGGGAGTGTTTTTTTGGTCACTTCACTTGGCAGCTTTATCGACATGGAAAACGTTATAGAGACAAAACTACAGAGTTCAAAAACGGTTAAAAGTGAAAAAAGGTAAACGATATAACAGACGCACATAAACGATAACGGCGGTTTAATAGTATTATGTTTGTTTAAAGAGTATTTTGGGCTTCATTATTTTCTAGTTGTTACATTTTGTAAGGCCCAATATTCAAGAAACTCTAAATCGAATTCTAAACATCTCCTTGGATCATCCTTGCAGCTAGGATGGAACGGATCCGGTTATCCGAAAAATTTGAAGTACGTCGGATTTGGGATTTTAGTATTCGGATTCGAATTCGTGTCTTTCAGATATCCGAGTTTCGGAGATCCGTCTAGATATTTGATATCCGCAGGTATCCGGATTCAGATTCAGTTTCGGATCCGTAAAAATAATTAAAAAATAAATAAAAAAATCAAAAATTCTAAAAATAATGCATAAACTAAATATTTAAACATAATTTATGAATATATAGATGACATATAATATTATTAATATAAAAGTAGAATGTTATCTGTACTATTATATAAGAAGTAAATTTGCTTAGTTGTCATGTTCTCCATAAATTTAGGTAAATTTGTTTATTTATCATATTTTTAATATTTATATATAATTCATTTATAAATAAAACGAATTTATATGAATATATCATCTTTTAGAAAATAAGATAATTCTTGTGAATTTTGTTGTTATCTAGAAATATATCTTATATATAAAAACTTAAATTTAAAATTAAGATATAAAAATTATTATATAACTAAAAAAAATTTATATTAGTAATTTTATATCTTTATAAAATAAGATTATTCTTATGTATTATGTTGTTATGTTGAAAATATATTTTCATATTATAAAACTTTAAATTAAGATATAAAAATTATATTATTAATAACTAAATATAAATTATCAAAACAATTATTTAAAAAGTGAATTTGTTGATTTGTCTCCATGATCCTAGGTAATTTTGATAATTATTTGACGTTTCGTTTGTATTTTTGAAAACATAAATAATAACTTATTATGCTGGTTTTTTATTAATGAAACACAGCTAAAAAATATTCATAAGATAATTATGCCCGTAAATGTGGGCAAAACACCTAGTTAAACTTATTTTATGTAGAAATATTAATATATCAGATATAATTGATAATAAAATAAAATAAATTATATATTTTTAAAATATGGATCCGAATCTGGATATCCGGATCTAAAAATTAAGATATCTCGATTCGGATTTAGTTTGCACCGATCTGAGATTTTACTATCCGGGTTAGGATCCGGACACCCCTGAATATTCTAGTTTTAGAACGGATTCAGAGCGGATCTCATATCAAATCCGGATCTGGATAAAAGTTTCAGCCCTACTCGCAGCTGGTGAGGCAAGGATGAATATTTTGAAGAGATCACATTCTAGAAAATATCATGAATTCAATTGCCATTTTTAAAACTACAAATGGCATGTGACAATATTATTATTATTTTTATTATTATATTTGCTTTCCAAGGACTTCTCCTACCACCACCAACACACAACTTGCTGTCAATTTGTATGATTCACATTATCCCTTGATATTGTTTCACCAAACTTATGTTTTCTTCAGTGGATGTGATAAATTAATGAAAAAAATGCCAAAGTTGGAAAAGCTAAGAGAAGATTCCGTATCATTGCCAATTGATCTAATCACCTCCCTACATTACATCCTCTCGACGTCACTCTTTTTCATTTCTCTAAAACTATCCAACCCCAATGGTCCATAAATTACTTTATTTTGCTAAACTACACCCATCATTTTTGTCTTATATATCCAATTATCTCTGCATACATCACAAACACGTTGCACTTATTTTCATTGTCAACCATAATACAGTACACATATAACACAGCCAAATCTGCAATAATTCATACCCTTACACCAAGATTCTTATAACATTCAGTGCATATTTGAAGGCCAATATTGGGCATATATATTCGAATGGAACATTCGTTTTGTTCTCCAGATTGTTAAAAACTAATATACACTACATAGCTTTGATGATTCCAAATTATTAAAATCTTATACAATAAAATCAAGTTTTCTCTCTTCTTAAAGTGTACACCACAGCATTTGTGAGAGGGGCAAATGATATGTCAGCAATCATAATCAAATTAAACCGACTAAATTATACTTCTCTCGTTTCGGTTTCATTTGTTTTTCATGGTTGATTTTGTTGTTGATTTTGGACTTTATTTTTTATATGATAGAGGCCCATTTTTTTAGCTTTTCATTGTCTCCTCTCTGCGTTAGCGAATACTCTCACCGTCCATTTCGCCGCCGTAACCAATCTGAACATACGTAACCGCTGCATTTTTTCATTAATGTCTTCTTTACTCTCACCTTTGGAGCCTTAACCACAGCCTTAACCACAGTTAGACCCATTATCTTCATCTCTTCGACTCCCACATATGTTTTGGGTGAGCTTAGTGCAATTAGGAGCACCATCACTGATCGTATACCAGGGTGCAACGTGTAATGCTCACTTTAAGGTTTGAAAGGTTGTTTGGTTTTTGTTGACTCACTTGACTACACATTACTTAAAATCGAGTTAATAAGGCCATTTTTTTCCTTTCAGCGACGTGAACGTGTGTGTAAGTATGTTCGACTCTCAGGCTCTGGCATTACATAGCCGTTTCGAGAGCTTTGGGAGAGAGCCCAAGGTTGTTCTTGTCACAGGCGTCAATCCAAAAATAGTTTCTGGTGAGCAAATAATTTATTGTCAATGCCTTTGCCTTGAGAGGCAAGTTTTGGTTTTGGTTTCATGCTTTTATACTAACAAAAAATTATTTCCTCAAGAAACTTATATTTGAATGGGACCTCGGCCACACATTTTTACTTTGACTCTGAGACAGTTGCAGGGAAAGATTTGTTTGGGGCACATCAGCAGAGAGCATCGGGTAAAAAAGACATGTCAGCAATTAACCATTGAAATCAAACAAAAAATGTTAAGTTCACGCATATCGGTTTGTAGTTCGCTTATTATACCAATTTTCTTAATTTAATTATTATGTTGGGCTGAGCATGTTAACGAGATAAGTGAAAAGCCCACTGAAGATTGGATATACAGCTAATTTGCACAACAACGAACCACCCGAAAACTACCACAAATCGACCTAGACACCGCTGCCGAAAATGTTTCCACTATAAGCAGATGCAGAAGTTCATCAAAATCATCTCATTCGCTTAGTTCGTATTAAAATATTTATTTACTTTTGAAACCTATTTCTATACTGCTTATTACTTTTACTTCTGTTTTTTTTCTCTTTTTTATTGTTTCCTTTACAAATGAACCAATTTCAGATTTTAAAATAAAATATTTGTCAACAAAACTTTCCCAGCTATACACAACCTAACTCAACACCTTCACACCTACTCATCTATACAAAAATATATTCTCTCTATCTTACTAAAAATCAATCAAAAATAAATAAAAAAGCAAAGGAAAAAATCCAAAAATTACCATGCGAAAAATACAAAAAAATACGCATCCGGTTTAATTCGGTACATCGGTTTGATACTTTCATTTAATCAATCTTATCACAATGATAACTAATACAAAGTTAAACCACCTTCCTCTCAAATTGCTGTCAAAATTAACAGCATTTCTCGGTTCAATGTCTATAATCCATACAAACCTTATAAACTTTATCAAACTTCTTACAAATCCATTTCAAATAACTTATCTAATTAGGCCCACCAAGAATAAAAATACAACAACTGCATACTTCTACGAGAATAAACCTAACAACTTTACGAAGTCAAAGACGCATACTTCCCATACGCCATCATATCTCTTTCACACAACATTTTATAATAATTCTAATTAGACGCTCCGAGTAACGTATCAATAAATGAAGTTATGATCAAATATTGCATATTCAAAACCATAACTTCAAAACTATTCGTCTTCTAAAATCCTCAAAAACTTTCTATATAACAAAGGCACCTACATAGAAAGCAATCATCCTAAACCAAAATCATTGACTCATAATGTCACGACAAAGAGACCTCTCGCAGCAATCAAAATCCTCCCAAACGATATCCAAACCGAAATCATTTCACGGGCTGCTAAGATCTCAATAAAAGGCCTACGCAACGTCAAGCTATCAAACACTACTCTATCCGAAGCTGCCGCAGATCCTCAGGTCTACAAGAACATCAATCTCTACATCCTAACAGTCTATCCTCTCATACCACTTCGCAGCTACAAAGAACTTATGGAACGCTGCCGTGCCGCCGGAAACTTGCAGGCTCACTACATACATGGGATACAAAAATATTTCCATAACAACGACATCGGTGTAGGATTGCCTCATTTAAAATAGCTGCACAAGGTTTGTACGAAAACAAAATTTACCTTTATGGTATAATAATGTTGTGTAGAGGAGAACAAGAGCTCGAAAAACGATGCTGGATTCACTGGGATGGAGAGACAACATCAAACACGGCGACACTTACTGGAAAACATCAAAAAATCACTCCATGGAGTAAGAGTCACAACCCTAGACGCCACTATGAACACCTACACAGAAGCAAGAGAACATATCACATGTCACCGAGACGAGATGCACCTTCGCTGTGAGAGTTGCTATTATTACAAGCAGATCTACAAATATACTTTTACTGTTTAGGGAAATTATCTAGCTCCCTACTAGAGAATAAGGGTCAAACTCAACAAAACTTCTATAAGACCGAAACCAAATTAAGAAAACAATATTATAACTATTTCTAAATAATAATAATGCGTTAAAGCATCCGTGAAAAAAAATAATAAAACAATATTAACCACCCATTACACATACAAATATACTTTTACTGTTTAGGGAAATTATCTAGCTGCCTACTAGAGAATAAGGGTCAAACTCTACAAAATTTCTATAAGACCAAAACCAAATTAAGAAAACAATATTATAACTATCTGTAAATAATAATAATATGTTAAAGCATCCGTGAAAAAATCATAAAACAATATTAACCACCCATTACGCCAAAAAAATAAAGTAAAAAAACAGCACTAAATTAAAACGCAGTCCTAATAATTAAACAAAAAAAAAGTTTAATACATACTCCCAAATTTCTCAAACTAACAGCAATTAGAAAAATCACAATTCATTCAAAACCATTTCGTCTAATACCGGGTTTTCAAAATTACATCGAATATCTTTAAAACAAATGCTTGACAAAACCTAAACACAAAAAATGAGTTCTTCAATAATAAAATATAACACAATCCGCGCATAGCGCAGACGGACCACTAGTTTATACTAATATTTATAACCCTGAAAGATGGGTCATGCTTTTGGATTATATTTCTTGTAATTCAAATTATTAACAAGTCCAAAGCAATGTGTGTTGTGAGTTTGAATGAATCATGTACTGGAAATGTAACTTAGATTCTAATATATATTACACACAAAAAACAAACTAAGGTTCAACCCATCACATAATGAACATTGTGTATCAAATTGTTGTACTAGATTGATTTGAAACATTGATTCTCCTCTCTCAGATATGGATGGCTAATAAACTCCATAGTGCTGTATTAGATACCCAAATGTGAATTGTTGTGTCACCAAAGAGATTTTATAATAAAGTTTTGATGACGATATAAGCCTAGACATTTCTTGAAAAGGAGTTAACTTTCCAAAAAAGAAACTAGCAAGTGATAGAATTTGATGTAAATGGATTGATATACAAAAAGACTCAATAATGTATTCCACATTTTGTGTTCCTTGTTAACTCCATTATCTTCTCTCTCTCTATTTTTGTTTACAACACCAACAAGAAACATAAAGTTATACCAAAGTGCTTTTCCTACAAAGAACATTTTCTTAGTGGAGCATGTGAAGGCCTCAAACTCTCTCCCACCTTAAATGTTGAACAATAAAAGATATCTCCAAAACACTGTTTTTGAAACAACTCTTATGCTCAACTCACTCGAAGACCAAAACAAAACATAGAGAAATTGTTTCTTCTTAATGCTTACCACTTTGATCCACTCAAAAAGATTTGTGTGGTTTCTGTTGAGCGCCTATTGTCACATGATGCACTGAGACTTTAAAGTCAACAGCTACTATTTTTACTTGGACATGAAAACAGAAAGAGGATACTGAACTTGAGGTTTGTGTCTCTGACTAAATTCCCTTTAAACTAAGTTCTCACTCCTGGAGCTTCCTCAGGCAGAATATCATATAAATAGTTGGAAATGTTCTTGACGTCTGCAACACGACCATAAATGATAAAACAATCAAATCTTTTTGCTATCAATCACAATTTTTTGATGGGTGACATATTGTATAACTAACAAAGCTATCCATATCCTCCTTATTATGTTGCAAAATCAAAAGGGTGAGTCTAATTTCATTTCCAGTCACAAGAAAACAAAAAAAAAGAAACTGGAGATGATCTAGAATTGCTATCTTCTATCTAGTAACAATAAAACTGTTGTATATAGAGAGGTGAGAAATGACCTCTAGTGGTTGCCTATGCTCAAACTTCAATAGGCAGTTTTTGTTTTATTGCAATTCTCATACTGCAGCATTTCCTCTGACTGGAACTTGGCTTGTTGTTCTGCTTCTAAATGGTATTTATTCACACTCAAATTTGAGTACTCAACAATCAGCCCAACTGGAACCTGGACTCTTATTTACATGCTTCTCTCTCATCATTTTTCTTACAAGCGCCGAGCTTTCCCAATCTCCAGAGGTTGCAAATATGGCAGACAACTGCACATAAGCGACTGAGTTCTCTGGTTCCAGCTCTAAAATCTTCTCAGCAACTTTCTTCCCCATGGCTTTATTTCCATTTGCTACACATCCCCTTAGAACAGAAGACCACATGCTTGCATCCGCCTCCATAGGCATCTCTTCCACAAGATCCATAGCGTCTTCCAAATAACCAGCACGAGACAAAAGGTCGACCATACATGAAAAGTGCTCTCTGTCTGGAACAAAACCACTATCCAACTTCATTGCCTCAAACAGTTTCCTTCCCTCTTCCACTAAACCACAGTAGTTACAAGCTGTTAGAACACCCATAAAGGTGATCCGAGTGGGTCTTACACCAGCAACACTCATTTTCTTGAACAACTCAATCGCTTCAGATCCATAACCATTCGTAGCATAACCTGATATCATTGAGTTCCACGGTACTTCATCTGATTTCACCGTTGTGTCAAACACTCTCCTCCCATGCTCCACTGATCCGCACTTGCAGTAGAGGTCGATGAGAGAGGATGATACTATTTGATCAGAGTCAAGACCAACAATTGTCGCCCTCGCGAAAACCTGCTCACCGAGTTCGAGGGAGGTAATGCTTGCACACGCACTGATGACACTGGAGAGGCTAAACTTATCTGTAGGCAAATCCAGCTTGTGCATTTGGCGGAAATACTCCAACGTATCACCTGGACAACCATTTTGACTGAATCCTACAGTCATTGAGTTCCAAGAAATCAAACTCTTTCTCTCAATCTTCTCAAATACCCTTTTTGCATCTTCAACTCTTCCACAGCTGAAATATACTTTGATCATAGAGTTCAATAATATAGTGTCATAGCTTTTGACCTCACTGAAAAGTTTGCAAGCTTCCTCCGGGCTCCCACACGTGGAATACATGTCAAGCAATGTGCTAGCTACAACAATGTCATCACCTAACCCAAATTTACAAGCATGGCAGTGTAACTGTTTACCAGTCACTATGATACCCAAACCGCTGCAAGCATTTACAACAGCTGCCAGAGTACGTGAATCTTCCTGAGTTTCATACCTCATCTCGTTGAAAAGAACCAAAGCCTGCATTTCCATATTGTTAGCAACATAACCCGAGATCATAGAGTTCCACAGAAACTCACATCTGTTCTTTCTCCTATCGAATAAAATTCTAGCTTCATTCACTCTCCCACAACTCGCATAACCTGAGATTAAAGCAGATAAAGAATGGTCATCAGGCTCATCCACCATACCACTAGCCATTCTCAAATCACCACACTTTGCATACAAATTAACCAAAGCACTATTCAGTTTCGAGTCATACTCAACACCACTCATCAAAACCCTCGCATGTATCTCCTTCCCACATTTCAAAGCTTCCAACTTTGCACAAGCCTTTAAAACAGTAGTCAACGTGATCACATCAGCACCCAACCTCACTTCTTTAAAAAGCCTCAGACTTTCCTCAGCGTACCCGTTCTGAATATACCCATGAAGCAGAGTGTTCAACGTCACAACATCTTTCTCAGGCATAGCGTCGAACAACCTCCTAGCAAGACCTAACTCACCAGCCTTAGCGAACCCGGAGACAACAACGTTCCAAGAGTACATATCTCTCTCTGGCATCGTGTCGAAGAGGTTTAGAGAAGACCCTTTATCCCCTGAGTTCATGTAGCCTTCGAGCATTGTGTTATATGAGAAACAGTTTCTCTCAGGCATTTTGTCGAACAGGTTGCGTGCGGTTTTTGTTTTGCCGCAACGGGTGTATATCTGGAGGAGATGGTTAGCGACGAATACAAGTGAGCTGATGAAGCCCTTCTTGAGGAACAGTCCATAGGTTTGGAGCCCTAGAGTTTCTTTGTTACTGTTGCTGCATGACTTGAGAAGACGGACGTAGTGACGCCGAAAGTCTCCTTCCATCAATCAAAAACTCAGAAAGAATTAAAATAATACGATTACCAGAACGGTGCCGTATAATAAGGATAAAAATCATAGGACGATAAACGGTGCCGTATGATGAGGATCAAAAGACTAACTAACGCGCGACTCGATATTACTTCGTTTCCTTAATTCTTATGATATAATCAGGAGTGTGCGTTAAGTAAAATCTTGAATAAACCCTAAATGGAAAGAAATATAAGGTAACTCAAAATTAAAAAAATACAGTAGAACTTCTATAAATTAATAATCTTAATAAATTAATAAATTTTGTCACTGTTAATTTAGACCGATTCAAATTTGATACAAATTGATAAAATAATAAAATAATAATTTTTGAGAAAATTTTATGTAAATATATGATCCCGTTAATGCATATTTTAGTACTTTTCCCACATATTAAGAAAATTTATGAATTTTAAATTACCATTGTATTATTTTTTGTAATGTACTATTCTCCATAATTTTTAACTAATAGGATTTTAATAAATGTCTTAAAATTTACAATTGAACATTAATTTATGCATATAATAGAACTAGGGATTAGATCTGTGTCTTTAATAGACTCGAGTTTAATTCTTAACAGTTCAATACAAAACATTAATTTATACATACATATAACAGACCTAGAGGTTAGATCTGTATCTTTAATAGACTCGAGTTTAATTCTTAACCGTTCAAAACAAAACATTAAATTATACATTGAAAATGTGAAATATGTATCTTTTTAAAATAAATTATTTTCTCTAAAACATGGATTATATTGAAACGGAGTGAGTATACATTAAAATCAAATATATTTTTTATTTTAAAAAATAAGTTTATTTTAAAATAAGAAATTTAAATAAATAAATTTTTGTTAATTAATATCTATATAATTTAATAAATTTCAAATTCTTAACCTACTTAATTTATAGAGATTTTACTGTATGATTATGTAATGAGCATAATAAAGCCTAAGATGAACAAAATTGTTTTTTTCATAAATCAATATTATTAAAACAAAATCATTGTTAACAATTAACCTTATAAACCCATGGCATATTACTTAAAATGCCACTGATTTTTCAAACAACCTTTTGCCCTTCATTAAGGGTATTATCATAGTATTGCCATGGCATATAGTACGTTTGTATTTTCTTTATTTGTAACCGTTAAGAGAACATGGATACGATCATTTGGCTAAACCAACCGAGTAACCAATCTTACAAAAATGTGTATGGTGCTAATTGGGCCTAGGGCTAATGAGCTTATGATATATTTATATGATCTTTTGGTGTGGGTGAGATTAGAATATGTTAAATTGGATTAGAATAATATATTTTCTGAATCAAGCATTGGGTTTAATAAAAATCAAGATTGATAAAAAAAATATAGAAAATAATCTATAATATTATTTGAGAAATAAATTTGTTTAATTGTCAATTTTTCATAATTTAAGATAATTTTGATTATTTGTCACGTTTTAATGATTTCATATATAACTTATAATATAATAAAAACAAATTTATATTAACAATATTATATAATTAAAAAATAAGATAATTCTTATATATTAGATTGTTATTTTAAAAATATGAACTATAAAATTTAAATTTGATTCATTTATAACTTTTCTGTGAAGAAAAACATAATAAAAATTAAATTTTTCAAGAAAAAATCAAACAAAAAATATACTCGTCCTTTTGAAAGACGGGTCAAAGCTAGTTAATTTTAAATGAATATCTGAGGAACGTTTGCGTGATTGACTAATTGGAACCGGACAACTGGAGAAGTAATGTAAACGATTTCGTCTTATTCATAGACAAATAAATTACTTGTATGATTAAATAATGAGAATAATTAAGTCTTAACATGAGCAAATAGGTTATTTAAAAACTTATCAAAAATGTTATTTTAATAAAAATGAATATCTGTGGAACGTATAATTGGACTATTGGACAAGTATCGTAAACGATTTTGTCTTATTCATAGGAGAAAAATGACTTAAACAAATTCTCCCATTTGTATATCATGATAGTGAACGTTAGCAACAAGACATACGTTGACTTGAAAAGATTTGGACGTGGTCAAAATTGTTATCATATTATGAAGTATTGCTGTTATAAATGGTTACACGCAGTTGTCGAAATTGTTATACCGATTTTGGCTCACATTACGATCTTTTTTTTTTTGAACACAAGGCTCACATTACGATCAAAAGGGCGATTTTAAATTATTGTTTACCTTTCTCGTATTTGTAAATAGTTTCTTCACAGTTTAGTTTTTTTTAACCTATAAATAGCTCTAGTTCTTCTCGAATGTAATACAATAAATACTTTCTACGTTTACCAAAACTAAAAACCTTCTATACATCTGTAAATGAAAATCAGATTCAGAGTCAGTAAAAAAAAATCAGATTCAGAGAGGTGTTTTATCCGTAAGTACGCCGATCTTCTTAAACAACTTTACTGTATTGAACTGAAATCAAGAAAATAAATAAAAAGTAATTACTTTATAAATACGTTATGGAATCAGGAAGGAAAAGATAACCCATTGGACGCACTTGCTTTAGTAGAAACATTAAAATGACTAATGAATTTGCCCATGAATTTGACGTATTCCTAACGCATTAAACGCCTCTATACTCATATTAATAGTCAAAATAATGGCAGATTAAACAGTTTTACCTAAAGGAAGTTTCAGTTGTTCTAACTTCTAAAAAAAAATATATATATATTGATATTATTTTTTCAACGAAATATCTTTCATGATTTCATCGCATTACAGCAACCGCAATTAGCATACTAATAATGATTCAGATGTTTTTTTTTTTAACGCTGAGTTCGAACAAAAGTACGAGGGGGTACAACAAAGAGACGATAATAGCAAAAATGAGATGTCAGAAGACACCATCAGAAAGAAAAATCGATAAAAAAGAAAGAAGGATAACCTATATACCCCCCACCTTCCTTACTGAGCCTCCAGGATGAGCAGATGATGTAGCCATGAAGGAGCATTCCGAGCGATATAAGACTGATGCCGCTGGTCTCGAATGACGCTAAGAGCTATAGAAGATGCAGCTTCATTTCGATCCGGAAGTGCGTGATTCAGACTCCATGAATCAATTCTAGCGAGAAGCCAGAAAATGCTGTGACGAATGTGGCTGTGACAAGGGGAAGCAGTTGGATTCGTAATGGCGTCATGGAGGCAATCAGAGGAGGTCTCGAAAATTATATTTGAGAAGTGTAGGTTGTGCAAACATTCCACCGCCCAGAAGAGTGCCCACAAGTCAGCCTCGGTCTTTGTACGCATGTATGAATAAGCCCGACGACTATGCATGATTGTATTTCCTTTATCATCACGGAGAATCCAAGAAGCACCACTCGGGAGGTTTGGATTAGTCCACGAAGAACCCACATTACACTTTAGGGTACCATTAGGTGGTTTCATCCATGAAGCCTTACATACGCCAACGCCGTCAACTTGGTCTAAAGAACCCGAGAAAGTATCATACCATGTCGATTCCTCTTCATACGCCCTCTGAGCGACAAAGGAAGATTCAAGAACCTTATTCTTAAAAACAAAAGAATTTCTAGCTTTCCATATTTCCCATAACAACCATGGGAACACTTTTGCTGCATGTGTATCCCCAGAAGTGCTCTTAGAATACTTGAGTAAATGAACAAAATTTAGGAACGTGGAATTCCTAGAGAACCCTCTGGTAGGAACTTGGACATTTGCGAGATCCCATATATCACGTGCTTTAGCGCATGTGAACAAAACATGGCAAACGGTCTCATCTTCAACCCCACAAAATGGGCAAGTTGGATCTAGCGGAATACCACGTGTAGCTAAACGTTGTTTGACTGCCAACGCACCCGATAATGCCCGCCACATAAAATGTTTAATTTTTGGTGGAGCTTTTGTCTTCCACAAATCTTGCCATAATTGTTTTTCCAAAGGGGAGAGGGAATGGTCATGAGGATTTTCAAAATCCACCAAAGCCTCCAGTAACTTATAACCACTCCGTGTCGTATATGATCCATTGGGTGTGAAACCCCATCTGATAGAGTCGTCACTAACAATTGATGGTTTTAAAAGAAGAATCCTTTGAGCACCCTGACGCGTAAAAGTCTGATATAACAAATTAGTATCCCATTGATTAGTACCCGGCCGGAGAAGATCCGAAACTTTTAGCGCCAAATTGACAGAACTGTTATCCCGATACATTGGTGGTCGTGGGATAATGTCAATAATCCAGTTTTCAGCCCAAACATTGCTATCTGTGCCATTGCCAATATGTCGATATAGACCCTTNGATACTCCTCCAAGCATAAGACGGACGTGTCCCCATACCGCAATCTAAAAAATCCCCATTTTTATAATATTTACCTTTAAGGATCCGAGAGACCAAAGAATCCGGATTATTCCATATTCGCCAAGCTTGTTTACCAAGCAAAGCCTGATTAAACCGACTAATGTCCTGGAACCCAAGGCCACCCTGATCTTTAGGTTTACAAAGTTTTTCCCACGAAACCCAAGGAATTTTTCTTTTTTTGTCCCCACTGCTCCACCAGAACTCTATAATCGCCCTCGTAATTCGTTCACATAGACCTTTTGGTAACCGAAAGACTGACATTGCATATATCGGTAGAGCTAATGCTACTGATTTTATTAGAACTTCCTTAGCCCCCATAGACAGAGTTTTAGAGTACCAGCCCTGTAACCGTCCTTCTAATTTGTCCTTGATAAAATTTAAGAGTGCCTTTTTTGACCCTTGAAAACATTCAGGGAGACCCAAATACGAACCATCACCACCTTCTTTTTCTATCCCCAGAACATCTTTGATTATCTGTTTATAAACATTATCTATTTTTTTCCCAAAAATGATGGAAGATTTCAAAGGGTTAATCATTTGACCAGACGCATCCCCATAAATTTTTAATCCGTTTAAAATTTCTAGACTGTCACCAATAGATGCTTCACATAACAACAAGCTATCATCCGCAAATAGTAAATGGTGAACTGAAGGGCTACCCGCTGCTAACTTTATACCATGTAGTTTTCCTTGTGATTCCGATCTATTTAAAACATGAACTAAAGCTTCAGCACATAGAATAAATAGAAAAGGGGATAAAGGGTCCCCTTGACGAATGCCACGTTCGGGTTTAATGAACCCATGGGAACGACCATTGAGTAATACCGAAAAAGAGACTGTAGTGATGCAGGACATTAACCAGACGATCCATTTTCTATGAAATCCCATTTTCTCTAATAGGACTTCCAGGAAATTCCATTCTACCCGGTCATACGCCTTAGACATATCTGTTTTGATAGCCATACAGGTTTGACCAATTTTATCATTTGTACGGAGCGCATGAACCAACTCATGTGCTATAATGACATTATCAGTAATTAGCCTACCACCCACAAAAGCCCCTTGAGTTTCTGATATTATATGTGGTAAAACCATCTTTAACCGCTCACATAAAATACGAGAAATGATTTTATATTGAACACTACACAAACTAATGGGACGCATATCTGACATTTCAGTAGGATTCAAAATCTTAGGCAACAAGGATAATTGCGTATGATTCCATCCATCAGGCATGTTAGCTGTTTTAAAAAAACTTTTAACATCCTGAATTATTTTCGGTCCTACAATATGCCAATATTTCTGGTAAAAGAAACCCGTAAGACCATCCTCACCCGGTGCACTACCACTTTTAATACCAAAAGCAGCATCCTTAATTTCCTCGGAAGAAACCTCCCTGATTAACAGAGTATTCATCCCAGATGTAACCCTGGTATCAAAACCATCAAAAAGTGTTTCTAAATCAATTGGGTTTGAACTTGTAAACAAATCTCTAAAGTATTCGGTGGCGATGTGCCCTTTAGAACCTTCGGAATAATTTTCATTACCAAATATATCTCTAAGCATCAAAATTTTATTCCTCATTTTTTTCCCCTTTACCACATTATGAAAGTATGTGGTATTCCTATCACCTTCCCTTAACCATTCCTCCCGACTTTTCTGTCTCCAATAAATCTCTTCTTCTCTATAAGCCGCAGCGAGTTCCTGTCTTAAACGTCGCATCAAACCAAAAACAGGAAATTGCTTAGAACTTTCTTTATCTAAATCNAAATTTTATTCCTCATTTTTTTCCCCTTTACCACATTATGAAAGTATGTGGTATTCCTATCACCTTCCCTTAACCATTCCTCCCGACTTTTCTGTCTCCAATAAATCTCTTCTTCTCTATAAGCCGCAGCGAGTTCCTGTCTTAAACGTCGCATCAAACCAAAAACAGGAAATTGCTTAGAACTTTCTTTATCTAAATCCCCCTGTAGCCGGTCTATCCTAGTTTTTGAATTCCAATCGTTTGTCTTTTTAAGCTTAGACAATTCAGATCGACACCGAGCAATACGATCAAGTACCGATAAATTAGAATCCATGTTCTCAGCGTCCCAGCCTCGAATAATGGCCTCATTAACCCCCCGTTTTCCGAACATGCGTTTATCAAAATAGAAACGTCCTCGCTGTAGCGTATCCGGCTCAAAGGCAAACTCTATTCGTAAGGGTTGATGATCCGAGGGCCACATAGTCATATATTCCGTAGATGATTGTGGAAAAAGACGAAACCATTCCGCATTCCCAAATGACCGATCAAGACGACATTGTACCCAATGATTATCCCGTCTACCCGCCCATGATAGAACATTTCCTGTTGTTCTCATTTCTCTGATTTTACAAGCTTCAGCCATGTTCCGGAAATCAAAAAAAGTTGTTTCTTCTCTAATAGCACCACCCGATTTTTCGCTATTATCCATTAATTCATTAAAATCCCCTATTAAGACCCATGCCTCGTCCCTATTAACTCCAATATTTATTAGTTTATCCCAAACAAATCGTCTTCTTCCTGTTACAGGATCTCCGTAGACACAAGACAGGAAAAAAACCAAAGAACCCATAGTGATTTTCAGATCAATAATTCGATTATCACTATATAAAATTTCCACTACGTAACATCCTTTCCACATTAGGGATAAACCACCACTACGACCAACAAGTTCAACCGTATGTAGGAAATCATACCCAAGACTTAATTTTAAAGCTTCCATATAAGCTAATTTTTGTTTGGTCTCCATGAGAAATAAAAAATCCGGGAAAAACTGACGCCGGAAATCCCTAATTCTTTGAACTGTGTCCGAATTACCAGCCCCTCTGCAATTCCAACTTAAGATACTCATAATATACTAACTATCCAAATTTATTTTTCTTTTTTATTATTTGTTTTAAATTAAAACAGCCAATAAAAATAAAATGACAATGATAACCACCTAATGAAGAAGTAGCATTCCTTCGAGTATATAAAACACCCCCAAGACTCTGATCGATCCAACATAAATTGAGTACCAGAACCGACAGATTATACAAAGCGAACCATATACCATAATATACAAACATATTAGGAACCTTCAGAAAACAGGTTTTTATTAAAAAGGTGAACACATAAATAACAGCTCCTGTTATTTCATCTAAGAAAAGAAATTTGAACCCGATATCCATCCATGTTAATTGGACAAACCAAAGAGAATCCAGAATCTTTAAGGTCTTTAGAAAAACCACCCTTATCAAAGTAACCACATTTGTTAAATAATTTAGCGTCTGAGCTAGAAAAATCAGGCGATAGAACCCCAACACCTGTGAGCCAACATCCAATGTAGAAGCTATAATCATAATTTCTTTTAAAAGACTGGAGCAAGAAGAAACAGACCATACATATGTCAAAGCTCGAGTAATAAAAGACCTCAGTAATCTAAACACCAGAACTATACAGTAAGATATTAAATCAAGAGAAACAACCAAGAACCATCTAGAACACACAAAGAGCACCATCCACCAAACAATTGAGAAACCACGAACACAGCTCTGCTTCTTTACAAACCATCGGGAGCATAAATACAGAAGAAGAAGATCCCATACAAACCAAGAAACATTAGAAAACCAAAGTAAAATGATGATTCAGATGTTATATACAACAAACTAAAGTATCCTTTTGTAAAAGAAAATAAAAAGCAACCTAAACAAGTTATTAAATATAAAAAGGGAATGTACCAACTAGCAAGGGTGCATATTTCCCGTTATATAAAATGATAAACCCAAATGATTGAGAAAAAAAAAACAGTTTCTTATGTTAAGGGCGAGAGCATGAAAAAGCTCAACGTGCAAGTGGTAAACGAGTACGAACGCGTAATTTAAACCTAAAAATAGATAAATACAATATTATCATGCAACAGATTAAAAGATTCTACTAATAAATTATATTAATAATCTATTAATTTAAATACAAAAATATTTTATATTCTAGTGGATTTAGATTATCTCCGGCGCACGCTTTCCTTGATAAGATCTGCACATATCAATAACCCAAAAATAATTACTTTACTATATTCTCTTAATTTCCTAAATATTTGTGTCTCCTATAAATTGTAGAAACAAAGACATTATTACAATCCTAAGGGCGTGTATGAACAGAGAGCTTCTTTGTCAAGTTGTGACCAAGTAAACTGTTTTGTCCCTTCAAAGCAAGATCAACGACCACCATCGTCATAAATGTTTGATCCTTCTTCAAAATCGTCCAACACCCATTTGATATTCCCAAAAACCTTCGATGATCATCCAGATTCCGGCGTCTGTTCACCTCCTCTGTGGAAGAACAGCCCACCAAAGAGCCCTCCTCCTCCTCATAAGCAAGCCAATCACCAGAACCTCTCTCCAGTTTCCAAGGCTCAAGTCATCGCTCGTGGTCAACGAGAGCTTATGGAGATGGTTAGCAAGATGCCAGAGTCGTGTTACGAGCTCTCCTTGAAGGATCTCGTTGAGGTGAACACAGAGGGAGAGAAAGATCTGAAAGTGTTCGACGAAATGCCTCAGAGAGCGAAGAAGACGAGTAAAGTCGTGAGGAAGTCAAAGAGCGATAGATGGGTTGATCCAGGACGAAACAAGGGAGTGAATAACAGTGGGTTTCTTCTGAATTTAGGGTTTCCTGTTAGCTTGGGTGCTAAGAAAAAGACGAAGAAGAGGGATGATGATGATTCTTCTGTGACAAGCAGAGGCTCTTTGGTTTCTCCCAGACGTTCCATCTCAGAGGATAAAGATTGGTGGAAGTCGGAATCGAGTAGGAGTCAGAGAGGTGTCTCGAGGATTAATAGTGGGAGCTCAAAGAGCAGTGTTGGTGGTAGTAGTAGCAGAAGCAATAGCGATCGAAGCAGAAGAAGCTTAAGGTATATATATCCATAAACTCTGTGGAATTTAAAGGTTTAATTTTTATTTATAGGAATGCTTTGTTAGTTCAGATGTTGGGAACTGATACAGAAAGATATCTGAAAATTACGATTTGGGGCTATGTTGATTTTGATAATGTAGACAACTTTTATTTAGTTATAGCTTTGGTCTTTTAGAGTTTTGTTGTACTTTTTTTTGCTCAATGGTGATGAGTGAAGATGCTAATCATGTGATGTGTATAACAGTATACATTGATTGCAAGATCAACTAGATTTATGCCTAACACTCTCTCTCTGTTTTAATACAGGGATGAAAAGAAAGGATGCTTATCTTTCCTCTGGAATAGACATCTATGAGACCGAAACGAGATATTCATCGTCGGTTTATACACTTCTTTGCTTAAGAAGATTACTGATTGCCTTAACCTGAGCTGGATTTAGTGCGTTCTGTAAATCCATGGACGAAGTAATCCAGGAATGATGAAGATGGAAGCAGATGACATGAACATCTTCTTCAACGTACAACCAAATATTCTATCCCTTTGTTCTTCTTCTTGTAGCTATATAATATAATTTTTGAGTTTTATTTGTAACCCTGTGTAATGTATCTATAGAGCATATGATGACGATCTTATTATATGTAGATATATAACCAGTGCTCATCGATATATGTATCAAAACTTTAAGGTTTTGCTTTTCGCCTAAAACTAAATCAATGTCAATCATATTTGCCTTCGCTTCAAGTTCAAGAGTGGAGTCTTTTTTTGTGTTATGCTATTGTTGGTTGATGATAGAGATTATTGGTGGGTCTTTCTTTGTGGCCTGGTGTGAGATCTGAATCGAAAAAGCCCAGACCAAACCCAAAAATCACTATTCAGATCATATAAAATGATATAAATATATGTAAATGCGAAGTATTAATTGAACTTGAACCGATATAAATTAATAATTTTTATAAATTAATAAATTTTCTAAATTTTCTTGGTCCTAATTTTATCGATTAAAATTTTGACACAAATCGATAAATTAATAAGATAATATTTTCTTAGAAAGTTTTATGTAAATATATGACTCCATTAAATTTATAAATTAATAATTTAATTTATATGTATATCTATTTATATAAGTAAGAATCTATCACTATATTGTTTATTTTATATTCATAATATAATTATTTTATATTTTTTTAACACTTAATATATTTTTGATGAGATTTAGTGATATTATATCTAAAATCGCATTTAAATTATATACACCAAGTAATATAATAAAAATTAATATAAATGTAAAATTTCAAAAATAATAATTAATATCTAAACATTAAAATTAAGAACTTTTCTTATCTTAGAAAAAAAGATATATATATATATATATATATATATATATATTTTAAAATAAAAAATCTAAATAAATAAACTTTTGTAAATTAATATCTCTATAAATTAATAAAATTTCATAGTCCCAACAACATTATTAATTAATAGAGATTTTATCTCTAAATATTTATCAATCAAATCCAACCCTAACATATATAAAACCTAGAAGACTAAACTCAAAAACCCTAGAAGCCCGATCAGATACCCGGATCAGGCCTAAAATTGAGCCATCATCCAAACGCGTTTCCGTATTGTGTTATTTTATTGCGGTTAGGAAACGCGCTTATGGTTTTGGACTCTTAGGGAAGACATGTCAACGAGAGAATGTTTTGACATTCGGTTTTACAGGTGATTTTTCCGTGTGTTTACCGTATGAAATGATTTTCGTAATCTTGAATGATTGTTAATTACGAACCATATATTATTAATTTCTTATGAAAAGACTTTAAAGTCGACGGTGATTTTGTCTTAATGTCGTGTACCAGAAGCTAGAGAAAAACCAAAGCACAAGTTTTCAACTATTTGTGCATCTAGAGAGAAGCAGAAAAGTTGTGTCTCTTTGCAAATCCTGAAGACTTACAAATCTTTTCGTGTTTGCTTTTCTTTAGGTTCTTAACTCTGAACAAGGTAAAGACTTCTTTTGTTTGTTCAGTTTTTAATTTATTGTTATATGTTATGTACTAAAGAGATTATGGTGTCTTTGATCTGTGCTTATACGGAACTTTATAGGTTTTGATTGATATAAGAGGTCCTAAGATGGCAAATGGTGCAGCGGCATGGGCAGAAAGGGCTACAGATGATATGTTGACTGGTCCAGACTGGGATAGTAACATTGAACTCTGTGATATTATCAACATGAATCCTAGGTTAAAAACGTCTCCCACTAGTCATGATTGTCTCGTTAGTTTCAGTTTCTTTGTGGGTAGAAGTGTTAATAGTTTTGACTTTGTTCAATGCCTTTAGCCAAGCAAAAGAAGCAGTGATGGTGCTGAAGAAGCAGTTAGGAAGTGATAATCCTAAAGTTCAAATTCTTGCACTTTATGTGAGTATTCTTGGATTGAAATATTTGGTTTGTGTTCATGTATGTGTTGACCTCATTATGCTTGCTGCAGGCGTTGGAGTCTTTAAGTAAGAATTGTGGGGAGAACGTGTACAACCTCATCGTTGACTGTGATATTTTGATTGATATGGTCAAAATAGTGAAGGAAAAGGTTTATTGTTTGTTACTTGCGCTATAATTCACCTGCCTCAATATCTATGGAGACGTGGGTTGTAAATTTCCAATTATGATAATGCAGCATGATCTAAACGTGAGGGAAAAGATACTAAGTTTGGTAGACATATGGCAAGAAGCTTTTGGTGGTCAATACCCACAATACTACAATGCGTATAATGAACTTCGGGTATGTTATCTTTTTCATTTCATGAGTTATGACAATTTATTTTGCAATAAGTATTTTGTCAATGCACCAAACTTTAGCAAAAATAAAAAGAATTTTGACAAAATTAATGGTTTAGTGTGCTGGAATTGAGTTTCCACCTCGAACGCAAAGTAGTTCAGGACCACGGTTCTTTACTCGGCCTCAGACTCAGCCCGTTCCATCAGATGAAGATGCTGCTATTCAGGCGGTGCTGCTAGGAGAGGATGCTTATCGCCTCAGGTACTCTATTCTAAGTATAACATGTTCTTTGTTCCATTAGGTTTTGTTAGGGTTGTTTATTCGAGTTTTTTTGTTCTTTAAAAGCAAGGAAGATATTCAAAGTGCTGTGGGACTAGTCGATGTTTTGATGGACATGCTTGGAGCACTTGATCACGGGAACCCCGAGGTAAGAATTTTTGGCTGTTCTGTTCATCACAATGAACCAATACTTGTGTTTGAAGTAATGTAGATTAACTGTTTGTATCTTCTTGATGTTGTTAGGGTTTGAAAGAAGAACTCATAGTTGACTTAGTGGAGCAGTGTCGTACTTATCAAAGACGTGTGATGACTCTTGTGAACACTACAACGTGAGTTTTCTTCCTTCATTCCCTGCTGTGGTATGATGGGTTGTTTAGTAAACAGTATATATTCGTTTTGCTTTTGTCCAGAGACGAGGAACTACTGTGCCAGGGATTGGCATTGAACGATAACTTGCAGCTTGTTCTTCAGCATTACTATGATATGGGCTCTGTTCCTTCAAATGGATTCAGCGTCATGACAACTCCTCCAGTTCAGCTAGTCAACAACAATCTTGATGATGACAGTGACGAATCAAAAGTTGATTTTTCTCAGCTAACTCACAGGTAATTAAGAGTAGCGTTCCTATTTGGAGAGAGATGATCTCTTGACATTTTTTACTTAAAACTATCTTTGAACTTTGCGAATATATTTACTGTTTAATAGAGAGTTGACCTCGATGCTTCCTCCTCCTCCACCACCACCTACAGTGTTACCAGTACATGGCACTGCCACTGATTCAAGTATGGTGGATGATGTCTATAAACCTCAAGGCTCCTCACAAGGAGTAAATCCTCCTCAAAATGATTGAAACTCGACATTTCTTACGTATGTTTGGTTTCATGGGAAATATTCATTCTTTCTTGAGGATTGTTCTCTGTGGTACGAATTGAACATGCTGTGTCAATGATCTACCACCCATTACTATGCACTATCTCAACTACTTCTCACCCATACTTTAATAACTATCACCTTGGTACGAGTTGAACATGTTGTGTCGATGATCTACAACCCATCACCCATTGTTCTCACCCATTGTTCTCACCCATATCTCTAATTTCATATATAGTAATACGTTTTAGCATTTATTGTCTAAGTTATTCATAGTATCACATTTTTTTGTTTTTACCTATACAACATAGTATAAATCACTAAATCTTTATCCTTTACCCGATTCAAGAAATTAATTAATACCCGATTAAAAGAGAGTTCAAATTAAACACCTCTTCCAAAAATCTGAAACTCATTTTATTAAGTATTTAAAATATTGTAAGAAACGCAGAATCACTAATATGAAATTTCAAAACTTATAATCCTAAACTGTATCGGTAAGAAATCAAGAACAAGGCCATAAGGCAGTACTAAAGTGATGGGTTCTACAGTTACAAAAAAAAAAAGGTGATGGGTTTTAATAACTGCCCCATGCATGGCCACTTGTATACAAATGCATCAACATTACAACTGTTGAAACCGGGTATTCCAGCAAATTATCTACAAGGGATTTGATGGAAATCTCTATCTTCAACATGGCTGCAAAGGTATACTCTCCACTCTCCTATATTTCATCTATTGGTATTTGTGTTGCGCTCTAATTTCTCTGTTTTTTTTTTTTTTCTGCTCTTAGTAGACATCGATGAATGCAAAATGAGTTTTCTTATTGTGAGAAGCATGGAACGTGTTAGAAAGAGTGAAGACAATCATTCTTGGTAAGTTCTTATGCGTTTTTTTTTTCTCATATTAATGGATGCTTTCTCATATTTAACTAATCCAATAAATTGTGTAAAAGCAGTAAGCGCCACTGGATTCTTGCTTTTCTTGATCGGAATCTGCTGCCTGATGCTGAAACTCAAGCTCTGGAATCTGGTGCACAATCATCGAACGCATCTATCAAGATCTTCAACGAGAAGGACATCAAGACACCGACTAAAGACTTTCACGAGGCCAGAATACTTGGTGTAGGAGGCCAAGGGAATCATAGACGAAGAGATACTTCCAAAGGTATACTCTCCTATATTTTCATCTAGTGGAAGTTGTGTTGCATACTAATTACTCTTTTTTTTGTTTTTCTGTTCTTACTAGATATCGATGAGTGCAAAAATGAATGTTCATTCTTGTGGGAAGCATGGAACCTGTAAGAATGACTGAAGACAATCATTCTTGGTAAGTTCTTGATTTGAGTCTGCTGAAACTCAAGCTCCGGTGCACAATCATCTAATGCATCTGCCAAGATCTTCAACGAGAAAGAAATCAAGAATGCAACTTAGAAAGGCTATAACGAGACCATATAGTCCTTGGTGCAGGAGGCCAAGGAGTCGTATACACGAAGAGATACTATCAGACAGTGTTCAAGTTGCCAATAAGTGGCCCAAATCGACCTTCCAAACGTGGTGAGGTTTTTAGGTTGCTTTAAAGAAACACAAGTTCCCTTCTCGGTATATGAGTTTGTGTCTGGTGGGACTCTTTATGAAATCTTGGTTTGAGGTTGAGAATGGCTACAGAGTCGCCCCCAAACTCTTATCATTACCTCCCGTGACGTCAAGCTTGACAACATTCTCTTTGATGAAATTTTATCTCATTTTTGGAGCGTCTAGGCGTGTCTCTACAAACAGTGAACAGCGCGCAACTTTGGTCCAAGGCTCACTGGGTTATATGGATCCAGAGTATGTGCATACAAGCCCATTCACTGAAAAGAGTGACGCGTATAGATTCGGTGTGGTGGAGAGACCCCAGATTTGAGACAAGTAGCTGCAGAGCTTCGGGTCAAAACGTAGGGTCCTCCATCTGTATCGGCCTTCGAAATCGAAGAGATCATATCCTTTGGCTGAAGAAGTTGAACCAAGCAAACTACCAATATCTTCTTTTTTTTTTGTCTTTCTTGAATATTGTCAATTATGTAAAATGTGTATAACAAGTAATTATGGAAATAATTAGCTGGACTAAATCTCTATCAATTAGTCATGTTCTAATTAATATAATAGATCTATAACTATTTATTCATATTTAATAAAATATTTCTTACTTTCGATAAACATATAAATAATTTTACACCTAAGTAATCATAATATCTAATACTTACAAAAATATTTTAACAAAGAACATGTTTATTGTCATGTTCACACCATTTTTCTTTGGCAACCATGTTCACACCATTTATGTACTTTAAATTGTTAATTAAGATTTTATATCATCAATATAATGTGGTCGTCATATTCTTCTTCTTGCTATAACGTCTCAATTTATGTGATACTAGTGGTTCAACCGCGCTAGTATTTTGTATGTGATACTAGTGCTACGCGCGGATTGTATTATATTTTATTATTGAACATGTTAATTTATGTGTTTAGGTGTTATTAAACATTGATTTTTTTCCTAATGTTTTTGGTTCTAAAGATATTCGATGGAATTGTGGGATGCAAGTAGTAGATGAAATCATTTTTGAATGACGCGTGACTCTTTTAATTGCTGCTAATATTTTAATACGTGAGGACAGATGTTAATTGTATTTTCTTATGTTTGTTTAATCTGAATTTTTGTTCGGATTTAATTTGGTTTTATTGGTTTTTGGGTATTTTAGTTTATAAAAAATTAGTTACCATATTGAAACCATATCTAATTTGATTTGGTTTGGCCTATATATTCTCGATTTTTGATTTATTCAATTTTATACCAAAATCTATAACTATATTTGTCTTTTATAACAAATTTTAGTTTATATGCTTAGAAATCAGATTTATTAACACACACACACACACACACATATATATATATATTCTAACTTTTAAATATAATATTATGTTTATTTCAATATTAAAAATAACTATATTTGATGAAAAAATATTAGATAAAAAAATTAATAAAATAGCAATATAATAATATTATTATATAACTATATTTTAGCACAAATTTTATCATTAAAAAATATGTTGTATTTAATTTGATGAAAAATAGAAAAACTCATTAAACAAAATAAAAAATTATTAAAATCAATGTTTATTAATTATGAATATCATATAAATAAAACCATTATGTATATATACATATTCTTAATTTTATTATTAAATATACTAATATATTTTAATTAACCGGTTTATTCGGTTTATTAGTTGGATCGGTTAATATACCAAACCATATATTGCAGTTTCTTAAAAATAGTATTCATTCGATTTATTCGGTACTAACAAATTCAAACCGCTCTCTATTTATCTTTGGTTTTACCAGTTTGAACACCCTTATTTTTCTATAATTGTTATTTGTTCGACATTTTATATTTTTGTTTAGTTATTTTGCTATAGATTTTTTATTGTTTTTCAAATAGTCATGTGATTTGCTGTTTGTGTGGTAGTTATGTTTGGATCAGTTCATCAAGTGATTGTAGATGCTGAAATTTCTGATGTAGTGTTTTCTATCAGGTAATTAACGTAGCTTTTTTACCATAATAATTTTTGTTGGTAGTTTTTCTTTTATTGTGTATTTTGATGTTTGTAATATATTAATTATAAAAGCAATCTTTAAGATAATGTATTATTTGTGATTGGAAAGAATGGGGTTAACATTTTTCTGGAATTGAAAACATATCGTAGATCTTAATTGGTTGTTAATAGAAGACATTTTACCTTGTTCTAGAAAAGAAAAATAGAATTATTAGTGAAATCTGATGTAACAAAAGGTTTTGCCTACTCAACATATGCAATGAATCATTCTCAGATCAAGAAACAGTTATTAAGAGAATTAAAAACACTTCCAACATTTGTTTACGGAAGGAAACCTGCTTACTTGCAGTGCACCTCCCCCTTTCAGAAGTTTGATAATGCCCATATAGTTTCTTAGAAGAGTGAGAACAGAGAGCTAAGTTCTAGTTAAAGTGAGCCAGAAGAGCATCATGGGGTCAAAACTTGTGACAATATCACAGCATGTTGGTAAAAGTCACCGAAGACGTTTCCCAATGCTGAAAAAGCATCTAATCATAAGACACATGTGGAACTCAGACCCAAAATAAATCATCCAATTGATTAAACATTTACTTCTTTCTTCTTTGAAACCGGAATTAAAACATGTACTTGATAAGATAATAAACAAAAACAATTCGATAGTGAATATTTTAACTGATACAAAACTAAACGATAGTAGTAAAAGTAGAATACATTAGGAAACCAAATAAAAAGAGTCTTGCTAACACCCTATGTTAGTTTTAAAATAACCATCTTTGATCGTCCACTACTAAAAACTATATTTTATAAGATCATAGCATGCAATACCCTCTATTTTAAGTTCCTTCCTACAAATTATGTTTCACCGATCCAAACTTTTCAGAAACTTTCTCCAATGCTTCACTCAGCTCACAATCTTCCATAGTTACAATACTGTTGTATGTTAACTGATCAGGTGCTAGTCTTTTCTCTTCCATTTTTGATAAAAGATGATATGCTTCTTTTAGCTTCATGTCCTTGCAGAAAGCCGAGATCATTGTGTTGTATGTAATCGTATCAACCTCTCTTTCCTTGATAAGCGAACTGAAGAAAGTGAGAGCATTTTTGTCATATCCTCCTTACAAAGACCAATGAGAAGTGTTACCTGTGTGGTTAGCTGGCTTGAAAGAGTGTTTAAAGGATTCGTTATAAAACTCTGAAAGATTTCTCAACCCGTACGACTCTTTAGTATCCAAGGATGATTGAACTGAAAGCCGTGTCATCAGGAAGCAAACCACTCTCAGAAAGCTCATCGTATTTCTCCATCGCTTGCTAGCTCAGTTTTTCCCGATCTTTATCTTCTTCATCTCTTCCCACATCTCCAAAGCTTTCTCAACCTTTCCTTCCTTTGTAGTAACATGTGACTAAAGTTCCACAACTAACCTCGCTTATGAACACTATCGAGCAAATTGGGTGATACTGTAGACAGAACCTTCGGTGAGACTATCCTGAATCTGAGCTGTCGAGTCGCAGCAATGGATGCTTGCATCAGCGTTGACTGTTTATTTAAAACAAAAAAACATTTGAGTAACAAAAGATAAATAAACGCTATCATAAGGAACGTATTTTGAGAGAACAATAAAATAATTTCAAGGATCCGACGAAAATGAAACGAATTAAGAAGGAACGTATATTGCAAAGAATAAAATCAGCCTCCACTGTTTCGGAAATAGAAATAAAAACTTCTTATATAATTGACGGAAACGGAATGTATACCTTGTATTAAAAAAAAATTATTTCCAGGATCTAAACAAAAGGAAACGATATAAGAATGAACGTATATTGGAGAGAAAAAACCTTTTTGAAGATCTAAACAAAAGGAAAGAATTTGAGGAGTAACGTATACTGGAGAGGCTTAACCGGAATTAGATGTTCTTACATTCTCATCAATCAGCAACATGTCAAGAATCATCAGTTCTCTGGATCTGTTGTTGTTCCTGTTGGTGTTTCTGATCTCCACTGTGTGAGAGCAACGTCCGGCCTTCAAATCAGCGAGGAGAGTGTAGGAGTTCGCCATAGCAGTAATCGTGTAAGTAAGTTTCTCTGGGATATCGTTTGAGTTGCGTTCGCCATCATTCGAGACCCATATATTTATAATCCAACTTTGGACGGTTTTGTGTAGGATTCGAAGAGATCGACTAAATGCTTCTCATTGTGATAAGGATGAAAAGCTCAGAGTTACTAAGGTATTAATGGCAGACTAAGCCGTTATGGTGTGGAGATCGTGATCTTGCGTCGCTATACCAGAGGCGGCAGCTCGGACGGGATGAAAAGAGGAATCACGAATGACCTAAAAAATTATTTGGGCCTTTCAGTTATCTACTAACCCCCCCCCAGCCCAACAAAGTAATTGCAAACCGGTCTAATAATCAAACTCAAAACCGGCAGGCGAAGACATTACATTTACGGTTTAATTTAAATTATTAATTGATGACGTGGCTTTTTTTGCCCCACTCTATTATGCTGAGCTGGACACCCTAAGAAGAGAGAAAACTTAGCTTTATTGTATAAGATTATTTTTAAGATAAGCATTGAAGTTCTTAAAATTATGGAGTAAAAAAATATATCATGTTGTATAAATTAAAATACAGTTTGATAGTTTCACGTGGTATTTGTAAGGTGGTTATTTAGATGCAGTTATCAAATAATTTTTATACTAAACATATGTCAATATGAAGTTATAAAATAATTAATTGGACTACACATATATCAATACGTCATGTTGCTGCTTTAATAGAATATATATAATTTTTTTTGTATCCAAAGTAATATATATTGACTTTTATTAATAAACAATTTAAAGTAAAAATAATTTTTTTAATGAAAATCGTAATGTATCTTTTTATAAGTGACATTCGCCATAGTAGTAGTAACTTGAATTGTTTTAGTAATCTTAAATTTAGGAACTAAATGAATATATAATAAGATTAAACATAAATATAAATTATTAATAGGTTGGTAGTCAAACCAAAAGGAAAGAATAATTATATATCTACATGCGAGGAGTAGACACACTTGTTAAATCATTACTTTTATTATATCAGATAAAAAAATATTTTAAACAATAGTAGGTATTAACCAAAATGACAGAATAATATTAATAATCATAATCGTTGCTCTTAAATGTGGATCCCTAAAAATTAGGAACGAAAGTGTAGGTTAATTTGTAAAAACTAATTATAGTAAAATAACAAATAGTTGGACCCAACATATATCAATTGGTCATGCTTCTGAATTAATAGAATAGATCTATACTTCATGTCATATCGT